CGGGAAAATTTCAAACTTTGATATCTTCTTCGTTTTTTAACCAAATTTCACAAAATTGGTACCAAAATGAAGCTTACAACGAGAGGAACACAATCATACCACTTTCAAGGGCTAAAATCCACAAAATCTCACCTGCAAAATCACCCCAACTCCGGCCAACCTCGAAACTCGTGATCCCGACGTCCAAAACCTTCAAACAAACCACCCCGAGCCTCCTAGGGACCTCACCAAGCTTCCTACAAGCTTGAAATTCCCTAAAACGTGAGAAATCACGTGTGCATGAACAGTACCAAAATCGGGCATCATGAGTTCAACGTGAAAACGAAGGTATTCTTACCTGAAATGGGTATGGTTGGACTCCTACAAGCCTCACCAGCCTGAATATGTGCTTGGATTCTTCGATCTATGAAGGTTTGATGGGTTTGGGTGTGTGTCCGTACGTGTAAGGATAATGGGATGGGAAAGGGGACTCGGGACAGGTGCAGGGAAAGGATAAAAACAGTGAGGGTGAATGTGTGGTGCAAAACCAACCACACCAAGCCAAAAAGAACAACTACACAACGAAAAATAACGCTAGGGGCAAAATCGTCTTTTCACACGTACATTTTAAATTTTCTCGGGATGGGCTGTCACAGAGAAGATGAGAATAGGCAAGATGGTAAATTGTGTCGTGAAATAAGTGTTATGGGTTAAAATTTATGTGGTTGGTTGTGGGGTATAGAGAATGGTTGGATGGTTCTTTGTAGGTTAGTGATAGATTAAGCTTTGGAAAAATAAAGAAATAATTCTATGTTGAAATATGTAACAGGAAAAAAATTGTGATGAAAAGTGTTACTGTTTATAAATGTTAGGTTTATGACTAATTGCAATTTGCAAAGGTCTCTTAATTTTTCTTCCTGGTGTAATTTATGACTTATGCAGTGGTTTCAGTTTTTTATTTAAAAAAAAAAAAAAAAAAAAAGATCATTGTAATAGTCGGGTTTTGGGGTTTTGATTGCTCATGTCTTGCTACTTTGTAGAATTTTTTGCAATTTTTTTGGGTTAATAATAGTGTTGGCCTAATTCATTTATCGTTTGTGTGTGACTAATTTACTTCAGAGCCGTGAAAAATAAAAGGTTATCTACATTTCAATGGATATAATGTGATCAGTTCCTTCAACAAGTGCAAGTGTTAGAAAAATTCCAACTTTGCAAGTTGTGAAAAAAAGAGTTTCGAAATATTGTGCTTTCATGTTTTGGCGGTTTGTTATGGGAGTCTTCACAAGAAATGTTGTGTACAAAGAGATTTTGCTTCTATCAGATATATGATAAGGTTACATTCATTCTTTTAATCTTTAATTCATTTTTCAAATCTACGTAGGTAAATACATTTAAATTGTATAAGTTGCGTGTAGAATGATGAGTATATTTTATATTATATATTTTACCCTATTCTTAGTATACTTTTGTTAATATTTTTGAAGAATTTTGATATTTTGAATTGTATTTCCAATATAGGACTTTCGACTTCTTCTAGAGCAAAACATGGTCAAATGGATGAATTTTGGAGTAATTCCAGTTGGAGGATGTTCGTGAGTCACTTAGCTTGATTGTATCAAAATATCATATTTTTCCACCAAGTGGTTATTTTCTGGCGATAAAATAAAGGAGCAATGTGCGGTGCCGGAATAATGACGTTTTGGATTTGAATTACATTTTTGGAGCCCAAGATGACATCGGATGGGTTAGTGGCCTTCTGGAGATGTGTTCAGAACGTTCTTATCTTCAAAATAAACTATTATGGGCTGGATTTGGAGGAGATTTGAGGCTAAAACGTGTGCAGTTTATCCTAGTTTAATTAGGACTTTATGTTTTAATGTATTTTATTATTAGTTGGCTTCCTAGTGGAAATAAGAGACTTGGTGTCACATCCCGGCCCGGGGGGACCACAACTCAAGCCCACTCCACCACCGTAGCACGATATTGTCTGCTTTGAGCCCTGACCACGCCTTCACGGTTTTGTTTCTGGGAACTCACACGAGAACTTCCCGATGGGTCACCCATCCTGGGATTGCTCTCGCACGCTACTCGCTTAACTTCGAAGTTCCCATGGAACCCGAAACCAGTAAGCTCCCAAAAGGCCTCGTGCTAGGTAGAGATTGGAATATACATATAAGGATCACTCCCCTGGACGATGTGGGATGTCACACTTGGTTCCTAGGGTTTGTGCGACTGGCTTTGAGAGAGATATAAAAGGTTTTAGTCAGCCATAGTTTGGGAGGGGGCTCACTTTTATGCAACTTTGGAGATAGAGAGAATTGTTAGGGTTCTTGGAGATTTTCTACTTTAAGGCGTTTTCATTCCTTTTATTCTTAATAATATTTTCTATGATTTCAATTATGAATTTGCGTAACTAATTCGTTTTGCTAGGGCGAAGCCTTGAGCCTTAGCATGAATATGTAATTTTTATTTAATTGTTTATGATTGATTGCATGCATACTTTGAATTATTAATCACCGTGATTAAAACTATCTAATTGTCTTAATGCCTGATCACCATTAGGATCTTTAGAAAAGTAATTTGATGTAGTTTTGGTCGGAAGGTTCCCTGAAATTGACTTTGGCTTCTTGTGATTAATAATTGTAATTTCACTTAAGATGAACACCACATCCTAAGGGTTGCATGGTTTTTCAAAGGGTTTTCATAAAGCATAATGAGTCTTTCATGTTTAGATTTGATCTGAATGTCCGAACGGGTTGCATGTTAAATATACGTTCTATGTTGGAGGTTCCAAGTAGAATATAAATTAGAAAAACCTAACATTTAAAGCGGCATGCGTAGATCATAAGTAATTGGTAAAAATACATAGGATTGCTAGGTGATGGTGGAACCCTTGTGCTTTCTTAATTTGATTTTTCCAAAACATTTTTCTTTCCCCTTCATCTTTAATATTGCAGATTAGTTTGTTTTTATTAATTAAATTCGTTTTAATTTAAGTAGGTTATAAAATCAATCATCTTAACTTTCTGCTTTATACTAATTAATTGGAATTTGGTTTGTTTCGAATTATTTAATAATCCCTGTGGAGAACGACCTTGCGAGAACCGTTTATACTACAACAACCTTGTCATTCTTGCAAGTAATATAGGAGTTTTTAACCCGTTTGCGTCTATGGTAAAATCGTTATCATAGAACGCCATAATTATAAAAGAGTCTTCCGCACGCACATGAGCGCGTGCAAAAAGACTAGTATATTTCATAATCCTAATGTTGCTCTAGTATGTTAATTAATCAGGACTGCCCACGGCAAGGTCGGGATTTATTCAAAATTGTGAATGTGAAAGCGCTCGAACAATGTGCTAGAAAATTAAAATCTTGTGTTGGGGATTTCGAGTTTAGTCGTTTTTTTTTGTATACTATCACAAGTTCTCCAGGTAGGAATAACATCATGATGTTCCTAAATAATATTGGTTTGTGCATTTGAGCCCTCCCTGTCACGCCACCAAGAGATTTTTCAATGCGATCGTCACACGAGGTGGTACACCACGTGTCATTAAACAAATGGTGGGATTTGTATGTTAAAATGTTAATAACTTAAAAAGAAAAAATTTACACCGCTTACATAAAAACACATGATATATCATCCGTATTCCCGTCACGATCAAAAATTTCTCCACACGGATCCCTCGCACGGCATACAGAATGCGAAAATATCTTCCAAAACAAAAGTGACCGCTAAAAGCTTTGATTCCTTCGCAGCCATGTCGAGCTTAAAATATTTCAATGTAGTTACTATGGATAATTTGATAGGAGTTTAAAATGGGAAATGAATATGCAAGTGGATTACTGGATTAATATAATGTTCATTTAAAAGAAAATAAATGTAGCACCCAATTGATCCTTTTCTGTGATTGTTGTTGAGAAATGCTGGAAACAATAGAAGTTTTGAAACATTTTTGTTTTGTTTTTGCTGTTTTGGATTGTACGACTGAGTTCTCTTTCTTTGTACGTATTTACTTCGTATAAACTAAACATTATGAGATTTAGTTGAATGTTCTGAACGACACTTTATATGTATATAGAGTTGTCAACAGCTACTATATATATATATATATATATTTTTTTTTTTTTTTTTTTTTTTGGTGTAACTACTTTGCTTATATTTGATGTAAATAGTTTCTATATATCCACGCACAATACTTAACACATTAATTTAATTCCTTATTCTAATTTTTAAATACAATACTTATAATTCATTTGATTCCCGCGTCAACGTGCGGTGCGGGGGCTAAAACTACTAGTTCAGACTACTTGAATCCAGAAACATACACACTTATGCGACACCAACAAACCATATAAACTCTCAGTGTAACCATTATCCTTACTAAGTTTATGTGCATCCCTAGTTGGTTACAGTTCCCTTCCGATTTCTCCCTTGAACCTGTGGTTTACGAGTTTACGTCCATCCCTAGTCGGATACTGGTTTCTCCCCGTGGTCGTCGCTTACAAGTTTATGTTCATCCCTGGTCGATCGGCACCCCCGAACTATAGATACTTGCGCAAATCAATGTTAATTCACTCGAGCAATCACGACGTCCATATAAAATAGGGTTTAGCTCACTTTCATCTATGGATGATGTAAACATTCTGAACATGGTGAATGTCTAGCGAATCACTACTTTTATCACTCTCAAGATCCCATAATTAAGTACAAGTTCTATCGCCATGATTCTTGCATTACCGCCATGATTCTTGCATTACAAATTTACAGGATCGATTACTTGACTTGGTGAGTACTGCCAACGAGGGAGCTTTGGGTCTCTCCCGCTTCAGGCTAATCGCCCTGTTACTTTGTGATGAAATTTGGGTGAAGTTGCACTTAAGCCCATAAAAATTCATCCACGCCCAAGATTTTTTTGGTAAACCAAACACTTCCCTTCACTATGTCGATGACACGATCGACAAGTCTTGAGCTTAAGAAGATGGTGAATTTGAAGAAAGTGTACATGATAAACACAAGATGCAGGTCATAACCAAACCCTGTTATACACGATAAAGATGGCAAAGCCAATTTATGTAAGCCAAACCGCAACATACCCAAAAAACGACATAAAAACAAAAGTTCGACAACATTACAAAGGTGGAGTCAGGTCCACGCTACACACGTTGGACGCGATCACATTTTGTCGAGGCGCTCCACGCGTTTGCCCTCGTCATCAATGCGGGTCTCCACTCGCGCTTTACCCTCCCCATCCAAACGACCCACGTCGTTGAAGTTTTGACTATGCTTCTGGTCCGACTCGTACAGCTTGCTTGCAACAGCACCAGGCCTCGTCTCCGCCACATCAACCTCCACCCCCTCCACAACAGGAACGGTCCTTCTCCCCGTACTCCCTTTCTCACGTGCGGCACGTGACTCCTCCACCACATCCGTAGGATGAATCAACTTGGTTTTGATGGCACCAGGAATGCTCCCAATCGAGCTGAATATGTTTTCCTTCGCTGCCTGCCCTTTCTCGGCCTCGATGTCACGTGCCTCGCGTGCCCTGTCAGCATCTTCATCCTTGTACTCTTTTCCTTGCAACTTCAACTCCTCCATCTTTCTCCTCGCTTCCTCCTCAGTCTCACTCAGTTTCTCCTACAAAACACAAAAAAGTTTGTTACATAATGATAAATCCAATGTTGTTTGTTTATATGAACGTACATGTATTAATCAAGAATTAGTAATTATACCTTCGCTTTCTCTGCAGTCTCAGAAGTCGTGTCTTTTGTTTTCTCAGCAGTCTCGGCAGCCTTCTGTTTGGTCTCCTCTTTCTTGCCGGACAAGTACTCCATGGCCTTTTGAGCGGCACCGGCAGCGGTATCCTTGAGCTGACCCAACTTGCTCACGGTAGTATCCTTCCCTTCATTAGCCTTCTCAGCCGTGTAGTCCTTGGTTTCCTTTGCTGTCTCGACCGTCGCATCCTTAGCCTCCTTGGCCTTCTCAGCCGCATAGTTGGTATATTCACCAGCCTTGTTGACCGTAGTGTCCTTGGCCTCCTTCGCCTTCTCGGCGGCGTAGTTGGTGTACTCGCCGGCTTTGTTCGTCGTTGTGTCCTTCGCCTCCTTCGCCTTCTCGGTGGCGTAGTTGGTGTTCTCGCCGGCTTTGTTCACAGTTGTGTCCTTCGCCTCCTTCGCCTTCCCAGCTGCATAGTTTGTATACTCGCCCGCTTTCCCCATTGTTGCATCCTTCGCCTCCTTTGCCTTCTGAGCCGCGCTGTCCTTTGTCTCCTTCGCTTTTTGAGCAGCCTCGTTCGCCTTCTGAGCAGCGGTGTCCTTAGTTTCCTTCGCCTTTTCAGCTGTGTAATCCGCATACTCACCCACCTTCCCCTGAGCCGCTTCCTTCGTCTCCTTTGCCTTCTCCGCGGCCTGCTTCGCCTTCTCCTCAGCAGTTTCAGTATACTCGTTTATCTTCTTCCCGGCTGCATCAGTGGTCTCTTTCGCCTTCTGGGTGGTATAGTCTTTATACTCCTTGCCCTTCTCTTGAACCTGACTTTCTTCGTGGGGTTTCCCCACCACAGCTTCCTTGGCATGCTCTAAAGTCCCCGTCACTGCCTTCATCATTGACCCGAAAACACCGGGCTTCTCCTCGCGCTGTGCAAACTCTATTGGCCTCCCTTGGTCATCAGTCACATAAGTAGTCTCCACCACGACAGTCTCTTCCGCCGGTTCATCGGCAGCGAGCCTCGCTGCTGCCTTGGCAGCTGTCTCATCTTTCATTTGCTTCGACGACGCCATTGAAAACCCACAAAACGCACTTCGAAATTAGACACGATTTTTTTCTTTTCAAACAAACACTTGGAATGCTTTTCGAGTTTTTTACTTCTTTCTTCTTTTCTGTATCTTCTTTTGGTACACCGGAAGGTAAGGTGGCCGTATATATAGGATTTGAATCCTCTCCTGATCTAATGGAAATGATCCTCCTGATATATTATCGTAGGTCGTTGGATAAATTCAATGGCTACAAACAGAAGGTTCTTTTAAAATTATAATAATTGTAACCGTTGGATAAAAATCTAACGGTCCATGATGATAGGTCAGGAGAATTCTTTCCATTAATTCAGGAGAGGATCCAAATCCGTATATATAACCGGTGGAGTTATGAGAATGTGACACGTGGAGGTGGGGTGCGTTTGTAGCTGCTACGTGGTTCTGTGGGTCGAGACTTTGACACGTCGATTTGCATGCAGAGTGATGAATGGCAATGAGGATCTCGATTCAACTGTGTGGGGGAAATGGGAAGTGCACTGTCGGTGGATTTAGTTGGGAGGGATTAGGGGGGTCCTTACCGTTTTGTTCTGGTTGCATTCCACGTGTCATGCCAGGTGGCGAATTGGGCTTGATTTTGGCTCTTGGTCGGTTAGTTCGAGTCGATAACGTTTTGGCTAAGAAAAATGCAACTGGTGGTTTTAAGAATCTGGAAAAATAAGTGCAGCACTAGTCGGCTTTGAATAAAGTTGGAATTCAATATAATTTCTAGGCAAGCGTCTAAAGACTCTAAACACACCTAGAACACTATCTCCGAAATCCACAAGATCGATAAAATACTAAGTTTTATTGATAAAAATCTAAGTCTGTGTAAAATGAAAATTTGTAAAAATATTGATAGACATACAGTATTTTCGGAAAAATAATAAAAGTTTGTTAAAAATTTGAAAATTTAAAATATAACTTTATAGACTGTTTGTTTTTCTAAATATTTAATCGATATGTCGAGAATATCGATTAAATCTGATGATTTTAGTCGGTTCTATGGACTTAATCTACGATTTAGCGATGAGTAGCAATTGATTGAAATCCTTGTAATAAGAATGAGATTGCATTCTATGTATATGGGCCGGCAAAACACCTAAAATCTTTTGTAATTGAGACCGATTCCAATATGCCCGAACTGGTTCTCGCCGTTCGAAAGGCATCTGTGGAGTATGTTCATTTAAGAGTTTCTTAAGCATAGGTTGAAGTTTAAACATCACTCCTCATTTTCGTATCTTTCTTTAATTTTCTAATATCCCACAAAAATATTAGCCATATTGACGTAATTTCAAACATTAAAAAAATAAGTTTTATATACCCCATCAACTCATAATCCTACTGGGGAAAATAACATCCAAGTCCCAAATAACAAAGGAAAATGAATCTAAAACCGTAAAGATAATTAAATTCTATAGAGCTATAAATAATTCATAATAAATTCTATAACGTTAAGTTTTCAACAAGTTATTGCAAGTAATGCAAAAATAGGCACTGGTTAAATAAATTTTATCGTCTGTCTGTCTCTGTATATACAGAATCATCATCTTCTACCTCAAACAATAGTTACTCGGATTTGGGGAAGGCTAATCCTAGATACCCTTCTTTCCATCACATAGATCGTCCGTGATTGGTCAGGGAACTTATAGTGATCGGACAAACGGAGAGATTTTTCAGCAGAAGATGATACTTCACGTATTATTATACAAATAATGAGATATGTGTATTAAAAATTTAATAACTTAAAATTTTCTCGGACAGATGCCCTAAAAGTCTAGGGACTCACAATTCACAACCCCTCTTCACGTCTCTACTGCCCTATTTCTTCTTCTATCTCTTGTCGCCATTTTCTCCCCGTACCTCTGAAAAATATCCGCCAAATCCACCAACCCGACCTCCCTGAACTTCTTCCCCACCTCCTCAAACATCTCCACCCCTTCTTCATTTGAGTAATAGTGCAAAAACTTGTTGTAATCAAATCTAGGGACCTCGAGTCCTCTTTTAATCACCCTCTCTACATACTTGGTGGCTTCCAACGACTTCCCTGCCTTCACCAAACCCCCAACAAAAATGGTGTCGAAGTTCACCAGAGGATCCGATCCCTTCCTCCCTCTCTTCCCCAGATGCCCTTGCAATAGCATGATATAAGTGTGCATGTTAGGCTCACACCGTCTTCTGATCATCTCCCTAAACACTTCCGTCGCGTCGCGCGCCTTTCTCAACCTCAAAAGCCCCTTGATCAACCCATGGTACAAGCTAATATCCGGCTTTTCGATCCCTTCCAAAACCTTGAACGCCATTGTAACTCGTCCTCTTGCTAAAAGCCCGTAAACCAGTGACGCCAATGTCGAATTATCTGCCTCAATCCTTCTCTTGTGCATTTCCTCAAACACCTCATGTGCTTCCTCTATCTTGCCCCTTTTACACATCCACTCAATCACAAGCCTGTAAGTTGAGAGACCCAAATCCTCCATTCTGTTCACCCTCATCATCTGGAAAACCTTCAGCGCCTCGCCGTATCGATTCGTCTTGAAAAGGGTCTCCATCATCTTCTCAACGGCACCGATATCCGGGTCGAACCCTTCATCTACCATCAAATTCCAAATCTTTGAAGCCTCGATCATATCACCCACATCGCAAAAACCTTGAATCAAACACCTGTAAGTAAACCCATCGGGCCGAATCGATTCCTTCAGCTTCAAAACCAGAAATCTCGCCTCAACGACGAGCTTCGACCCACACAAATCCTCAACCACCATATTCAAATTCCCCAAATCGTACCCAAATCCAAACCCATTCATGGCGTGAAAGAAATCGACACACTTGTTCAACTCCCTGGCCTTGGCCAGCGTCCTGAGAGCAATCAGAAAAGTCTTGCGATTCACCAAACGACGACGTCCCATCTCATGGAGGGTGTCCCAGAAGAGCTGGATGTTCCTGGACTTGCCGATGACGTCGAGCATTTTGTTGAAGGAGACGGCGGTGTGGGTGAAATCGGGGTGGTGGGACTGAGTGTAGCGGAAGAAGAGGTAGACGGGCCGCCATGAAAGGGGGAAGGAGTTGCAGACCTGGAGGAAGAACTCGTGGGTGAGTTGGAAGGCGGAGGAGTTGAGGTTCGAGTGGAGACGTGACTCGGGCGAGTTCTGTTGCTGGTAGAGAATGGTGCAGACCCGGAGGAGGCGGGCCGGGTCTACCGGGGATGGAGCGGCGGCGGCGAGTTGGGGCTGAGTCGACTCGGTTGTCGTGAACCGGCGGAAGAAATTTGGGATTAGGAGGGACCTTGTTCTTTGTCTGATTAGCATTCTGCTATTTCTCTCAGGTAGTTTTTTTTTCCCGCGGCCGCTGTTTGTCCTGAATGAAATTTTCAAAAGACCTAAATAACCCTAGATAACTTGTAAATTACAACACCTAGCCCTTACTTTAGTCTCATTTCGTCGGGGGAATTTTGATAAAATAACCAAATTTAATACCCTAAATTTATGATAATATTGATATAAAATCCAAATTGTGCGAACATCGCACCCTTGCACAGAATGTTGCTTCATACGTATGGCTGTGATTAGTTGTTCTTAAAGGAAAACAAGCAATCTTAAAATCAAATCTCACGACGAATAATAATTTTTATCGTTCAAAGAAAACACAAATAATTCCCAGAATATGCAAAAAACGCTTTTTGTTTCGAAGCCCAGTTTCAAATTCCAATAGTAATATAACAACCATGTTCATGTAAAATACATATTTGGTGAAGATTGAAACGCTGCTGAAACGGATCCAAACTTTATATCGATCGAGTTTAGACGTACATGTATCAAAGGATGTCAGTTACAGAGACCCTCTCAGATCACGAGTTGTTACTCCGTCTCAGCTCACGAGTCACGAGCCTCGTTGGTTACAAGCCAAATTCTAGCTCAGCGCGCTTCAGAACAGAGGTCACTCTATCGAAAAATTCTGATTCTCTTTCTTTAATATCCTCCAGAGTAGTCGATTCATGTTCATCTGCCTGAACAGAAGAAGCAGACCATGTTAGGAAACCGTAAAAAACGAAGAAACAAAATAAAGTTCTAAAGCAACTAACACAACACCTATAAAAACTTGCATCGACATCAGACTCCTTCGTTACACCAGCAAATCACATTACCATGCAGATCATACCATATTATCACATACAGGTAAGAGGATTTCTAGTTTGCTTTGGTTGCCGTCGGCTACGAGGTTAGCATTCCTAACAAAAGTGGCTCTAGTCTACGGTCAGATGAACGAACTGCCAGCAGCTCGTATGAGAGTAGGTTTAACCGCACTTAAATTCATCCCATGGTGTCCCAGCAAGTCCCTCGTTCGAATTAGGGGTAAATGGGAATGATTTAGGATACATCTCCTCGTGATTCTGAGGAAATTATTACTAACCCAATGAAAATCGAAATTAACTTGTCACTTGCAAAAGGGAAGGGAGAACAATTTCAAGCTTATACGTACTAAACGAAACCAAAAACGATTTTGATAGCTCAAAGCTTCCACTAGTTTAGATGCCGATCTATTTGACCATTAATTGGGGAACTCAACGTCTACCATACAGAAAGAAAAGAACTTCAACAATTTGACATGAATAGGAAAGACAAAAAATATTGCAGGCATATGAGAACTAGCATGTACTTGCATTTTATGAACACCAAATTCAATCGAAATAGCTGGCTTCCAGGTTTAACGAAGCACCGATAGTGTGCCAAAAGTTGAATATACTCTCACATACCTCTTTAAATTTTAAGAGAATTAGGTTGGATACAGATGCCGGCTTTTCCCTGTCCCACCTGGAAGAAAGGAACAAGAAGTTGAACACTTCAGTGATAAATAAACCTTTAATCCTTCAAATGTTTGTGCTTAAAGAACAAAGGATTCTCTACCAAGTTCATTGTTTCACACAGGTACTCATTTATGAGATTTAAACATGAAATATTATATGCTTGCTGATCAATGGTAATACAAAAGTGAATCCGTACCTCACAAGCATTAACTCATTTACCGATCGCCACATCCCACGTCCTACATCTTTGGCAAATGGCTCTCTTGCACTTCTTCCATGCCACAACTCTTTTGCAATATACATCACTTCCTCAACATCCACCTATTAGAAGGGGCAAATGAGTATTGCAGCATTACTTAGATGCATATTTTAAGAGAATAAGAACACTGAACAGCCACAAAACAATTAATTCTGATGAATAAGCCCGTGTTTCTTTTTTCCTCTGCATACCAGTAAAAATCGGTCTAAAGTTGTGCTCACATTGACTATAACTATCCTATCCTACTGACTAATAATTGGCACTTCGAACGGAACATTAAAACATTCGCAGATCAAAAAACCAAAAACAGTGTTTTGGCATAAAATATGTCAGTTGTGACTTCAAAAATGACATGAGATACAAATCCTAGTCCATCGCAGTATTGACTAAAATATTGATAAGGAATATAGAGAATAATTTCAGAGGACTAAATCAAATTAACGGAGCATTCCATTGATTAGAAGCCCCACAACCATTTGGAGTGGATTCTTGAAATGATCATTGAAGGCAGCTCATCAGTGTCGAGGAACCTTACAAAAGAAAGAACGCTTTATGTCACCATAGAACCACTCTTGGATTCGACATGAGGGGATGCATTATGTAATTTCCATGCTATTATTACAGGAAGCTTTTAAATGCTAATTCATTAACAAAAACAATAAAGAACAAAGAAAATACTAGTAGCCATTGGGAGTCCAACAGCTCCACAGCCCCAACTACACATGACCCAGTTAAGAACAAACCTATATCATCCCATTAAAGTAATCAAAAGAAATCCTAAAAGAAGTTAGAAAAGCCATAGCCATTCCCAAACATTCAACAGTACGGCAACCTCAAAGGAGCAAAATTTAAGGGAGGAGACCTTTCCATACCTGGACATGCAAGGCAGTTCCATACAATGACTCCTCATGTTCAATAAGGCGTTGGTGAAGCATCCGGTAATGGTCAATGTCCAAATTTACTATAGGCTCTGTTTGAACTTGCAATCCAGCCAGTTGTGTCAAAACAAAGGAGGCCATGACCTGTCCAAATATAGCAGGGATGGTGCCAAGAACAGGTATTATGCGAACCCTGAATCCCGGTAGGATCTGATGTCATAGTAAGAAGACAGTGAATTTTTTTACAACACCTTAAGAAATTTACGACTCCTGGGATCTATACAATTCAATGGAAGTAAATAACCAAATAAATTAAAGTAAATCATTACCTGATAATCTGAAGGATTTTCTTCCTCTCCACTTGGTCCTTTGAATGGAAGAAGCTTTGCCTTAGGCTTCTCTAATGAAAATACAACAGTTACGCCACCCTCAATGCCATAATCTCTCCTTAAACGGTGTCTTACCTGTGATTACCAATTTGATAAAGAGATATAAGAGCAATGCAAGAATCCCAACAAAACATCATTATCTGGCAACATAGCATACTAGATTGTCTGACAAGAAAACATTAACGTACAAATATATTAATTAAAATAAAGATGAACTGAAAAAGTTGAGGAACAAGATGTCCCTAATATGCTCAAAAGATTGACCAGAAATACTAAAGAAATACATCAACATATTTTAAAGGTATCTTAATAGAAAATTGTCAATAAACAATTGACTAATGCTACATGAATTTTACATGCAATAATTCGGAAAGCCAACAAAAAATGAGAAGCTCTGGCAAAATACAGGTACTTAAGTGTTGGAACAATTTACTGCACAAAGCTAAAAACTATTTCCACTATAAAAAATATAAAAAAAATAAAAAATAAAATCATAGCAAGGGTTAGCAATAGAAAATTGTGAAAAAGATCCTGGCGACAAATCATTATTTGTGTTACAAAAACTATTAATTAAATTAAAGTCAAGATCCTTACAGATCGGGATAATGGATCATTTGTTGATTGTCTTAAATCAGCAACGCGTATTCTAGTTGGGTCAGCTCTAGCACCAGCTCCTGTTGCTGATAATACATTCAAACCCCTACGTACACACGCAGCAAGAAGTGCCACCTATTACATATGATAAATCAAGAATTGAAAAATGAACTTTCAGTTCCTAATAGAATACACAAATAATTTCCAGAACAAAAAACAGTACTGCTTGTAAAACAACTACTGAAAGATATTTGTTGAGGCTTTCTACAATGTGGGATGCATGTAGTGGGATGAGCTTTGCTCTCCTAAGCATCAAAAGACACTAATGAGCAGTTGAGATTATCTAAATAAGATTTAGTCAAATCTCAACCACTCGTTCGTGCAAAATGATGTGCAGGGGAAAATCATGTACAGTGGTATTATATCAGGAGAATAGTTATAGATGCGCTTCAACATTTGCATTATTTTAGAAGCAGCTTTGCATTTCCTCGCAAGTACAGCCCTGTAACGGACTATAGGATGCTTATTCATTGATCATAGAGAAAGGTACAAAACAACAAAAGTATATGGCCAGAATGGAAGCATATTAAATGATTTGTCACCTGCGGCATAAATCAATTAATTCATCTGATTAATGCAGTTCCCATATTTTCACATAAAGTGACATATACATGTCTAATTACATAGTATATGCAGAGAAGGGATAGAATCTGCATCCATAAATTAAATGACCAAGCATTTATTTGCAACTTATCACAGGCGCCAAAATCAAATATGTTCCCCAAATACCATATCTGATGGATGAAGCAATTAAGTCATGGTCACCGAAGAATTATTATGAGACTGTAATCGTTGCATATACGATATCAAACTAAGAACTAATGGACCTTCTCTCTAACTGATCTATAGACCTACGAAGATATTCAAATAAAAAAGGAAGACAGTACAGATATTATTAAATTTACCTTACAGATTGTTAGTGACTTATTAAACGAGAAATCAGAATAAAAGGCTAGCTAAAATAAAACATTCAGACTACTTTCAGTTCCAGGCAATAGTGGTACCTTTGTATCAATGTTATCAATGCAATCTAAAACAAAATCAGGATGACCCGCAAGGATTTCTTCTTCAGATGATTCATTATATAATAAAACTTTTGCATCTATGTGGCACTCTGGGAAGATTGACAAGAAATGCTCTTTCAGACATTGAGCTTTTGGGATGCCAACATCTGCTCTTGTTGCAACAGCATGTCGATTGAGTGATGAAACTGATACCTTGTAATGAAATGAACATACAAGTAAAGATGTTAGAAAGAATTTAGAAAAGAAGATTTTAGGAGATGGAGATAGGGGAGAATGTGGAGAAGGATGCTCTCCTAAAGCTAGGCATCCAACACTTCTATGAAATTTATATAGATGCTTTTCAAAGACGAAAATAAACCAGTTACAAACACAAGTTGTGGATCTCAGACAGTAATAAAAACACTTCTTAAAATCCTCTTCAAGCTGGAGAAAACAAGTAAAAGATGTCTAGCTTGCAATACCTCCAAAAGTGAACCCAATCAAAATA